GTTGAGAACCCGTTGAGGGGGGAGTATGCATACCGTCAGGATATCCTTCTGGGCCGAACCGCCGGCTTATAATAAGTGGTAGACCTTGCCAAGAGGGGTAAACTTGGTCGCCTTTGTCACGGCGTTAAACTTGACCATAGTTTGATGACGAGCATGAGATTGGTTGATGGATGAACCATCAACGTGTTATGTGATGAGATTAGTCAATGGATAGACCATTGATGATTGGCTATTGTGTTAAGTGAGTTTTGATTGAGTAATCTGATACGAATGATTTTTATTGACAAATTATTATACCTTTGAGATATTTTTGGCTATATTGTACATTGAGTTTAAGTTATGGGCTGTGATATTTTTGATTCTATTGCATAGTGATTATTCGATCCGCTTAGAAGAAATATGTTACTCACTGAGCCGTGGTAGCTCACCCCTTATCTTATATACCTTTCAGGTTCTTCTGCTGATCGCAAGTAAGGCGTGAGCGGGCGTTAGTCGAAGGATTTCCTTTTTATTGTGGGATTTTGGGTATGTTGTACATAGTGACATTGAGCTATTGGAATAGCTTTTTGTTGGATTTGTATACAACCTTTTGATGGTTTTAGAAAGCTCTGATGTTATTCAGGTTTTGTGTAAGTTGAGGCTGCGTCCTTTTAAACGGCCGTATTATGATCCCGTTTTGGTTGTGTTCGGGGTGTGACACTATCTCTGTAAAGATAGGACACTCTCCTGCTCACTCGCGTTGATCGAGCTTTACCGAATAACAGAAAACCGTACCTAGCGGCGGCCAAGCTTCGAGGTGGCTGTCAATGGAAGCTCGATGGCGGCTGTTGATGTTCGGAGACGGCAAAGGCCGTCTTGTGTGTATGAATGATGAAGCTTCAATCGGCTTGCTTCCGTCGAGGTAGAGATCACAGATCAGAGTGAGAGAATTGGTGAAGAGCTTCGTGAAACAGAGAGAGAGGATGAGTGAGCAAAGAGAGTTTCTCATGGAGAGAGAGTTTGTTTCGCTTTTTCTTTTCTCCCGGAAGAGCCGAACGAATAACCTTCCGGCCCATCCCGTTACGAGTGCAAAACAGACTCTGTTGCGAGTGCAAACCGGATTCTTTTGCGAGCGTGTGTTGACTCAGTCAATCCTTTCGAAGCCACGTTACCTCGTTCTCTCTCGGTTTCTCCTCTCTCGCATTTTTGTATTTTTTTTTATATAAGTACTAGACCTGTCAAAATAGATCATAAATTCATTTCTTAACCCATATATCAATAAATGGATCGTAAATGAATTAGTTATTCATTAAAATAAAATAAAATAAAACAAAACATCCAACTTTCTCACATTTTGTATGATATGAAAAGCTTGCCTAGAAATAAAGACATGAGGAAGATATATAGATTGTCTGTTGAAAATAATGACATGAGGAAGAAATAAATACAAAAAGTTATTGTTGTGCTATTTTTTTGTGCTTTTGTTTTTTATTGTATTTTTTGTTATTTTTATTTTTATTTAGGGATAATATCACGAAAAATCCAAAACTGATACACCTATGATAAATTTACCCCAAACTAAAATCCTGAATTGGTACACCTGTGATAAATTTACCTTCCGTTAGTTTCCGTCAAATTTTATTGTTAAATTGCTAAGTTAAATGACACGTGGCAGTTAACGAATATACTAGTTTAGGGTTGTACTTTCCGTTTTTCACAGGTGTACTAGTTTGTGATTATATTTTATATTAATTCAATTTAACGGAGGGTAAATTTGCACAATTGTACCAGTTTGGGTTTTTTGTGGTGAAAAATTTATTTTGGGGTGAATTTATCACAGGTGTACCAATTTGAGATTTTTTGTGGTCAAAAAATTAATTTTGGATAAATTTATCATAAATATACCAGTTTGGGATTTTTCGTCGTATTAACCATTTTATTTATTTAACAACAAAAATAAGGTGTCAACAATATCATAGTTACCAAGAGCGTTACTGAACCTGGTTTTATTTGTTCTATGTTTCGTGTTTTCCTTAGGCGATTTGTGGGGGACGCCGGGGACATAACATTGGCTTGGAGTCGATTTCAAGTGGTGGTTGTGTGGATCTCTCGGTGGTGTTCCTATTTCTCCATCCATGCTCTGTGCAACTCGGCAAAGCCGTGGTCGTGCGTCTGATGGCCGGGAATTCGCAGAAACGTGGGTCCTGGAAAGGGACCGAGGAAGGAGAAAAGAAAAAATAAATAAAAAATATATATTATATATTAAAAAAAACAATAATGATGATGATGATGATGATGATAAGATAAAAAAATATTATTTGCTTTTATGTTAGTATTACTTTAGTTCGTTGGATGTTTTCATCTTTAATATCATTAGTGAAACCATGGGCAATTCTCCTTAGCCGAAATTAGACTCTGACTTGATTTTGAAAATTAGCTCACTGGTTCATGTCCCGGAATTTAATAATAAGGCATCTCGTATCGGATTTACTTTCCACACTTTATTTTTACTCTTCTTTATTATCATTTTGATGTGTTATGTTGTTTTCATTATATTGATTTCGTGACTTGATTTCTTTAGCTTTATCCAACGAGTAGATTACACTTTCAAGTCAATCTCAATCAAACAAGCATATATGGACACATAATGGAGAATACTTAGGATCCATAATTTGATAAATACCGCATGAACAACCTGGTAGGTAATTAGTGTAATCAAATCCTTTAACTTAGGATCTCTAGCTTGTGGGAAGTAGAATGTTCTCCCATCGGCTCCTAGCCGATTCCAATAAGCTAGTGACGACTCCGATTCAGTTTATTTCTCAACATCTTGTGCGGTTAGGGTTTGGGAGAGCCCTCGCCGAAGAAGAGTGAGCACCTCAATTATAGGGATTGCATGTTCCTGTTCGACAAGCCCTTAAACTCGCTTGTCCTGCTTGGGAGGGTTGCAGCAGACTCTGATTGCCTTTGCATTTACTATAGACATTTATATTTTACCAAATATTACGAAGGCAATAAAAATTCAACATTGTTGAAATACACATGTGAGTTGTGTTAAAGAAGTCCCACATAGGAGAATTGATGTGGTGTTGAGCAGTTAATATATCCTAGTTAGCCAATAACTCATTGGCTTAAGCTTTTGAGTGAAGGTGGATCCAACTGGATTTGTTGACGAGCTCGGACTTGAGCTCCTTCTTGGTGATCTCCCCGAGTGAAGATATCGGGCTTCTGCTGCATGCTCCTAACAAATGGTATGAGAGCCGACAGTTGATTGGTGGGCCTCCAATCTGTTCAAGTGTTTGGCAAATATCTCAACAAAGAAATTTCATGATCGACGTTTGTTTCGGGTGGAAATTATCATCACGGTTGGTCTAGCGAGAAGTGACCATGGACAGTTAGTCTAGTGACGCGAGATAGTTGTGCATAGTTACAGATGCATTACAATGATGTGGAGATTCAACTTGAGATATGTTGGTGTAGAAAGATACTTGAATTAAGGGAGAGCATACCTAACACTAAGCTCACACTTGAGGGGGAGATTGTTGAAATATACGTGTGAATTATGTTAGAAAAGTCCCACATCGGAGAACTCATCGGAAAATCAGTGTGGTATTGAGAAGTTAATATATCTTAGTTGGCCCATAACTCATTGGCTTAAACTTTTGAATGAAGGTGGGTCCACTTGATATGTTGATGGACTCGAACTTGAGCCCCCTCTTGGTGATCTCCTTGGATGAAGGTATCAGACTTCTACTGCGCACTCCTAACAAACATCTTATCAAATTGATTGAATCTGTCTCAATATTGGGTTGATGTTGAAATCACTTGAGCCGGTTGGATTGTTCTGTCCTCTAGGAACCAGATTGTCTTCTCTGGCTCTGCTGCTGCTCTCTGCAATATTGGCATTCATGGTCGTATAAGTTGCTATAGTCATCCACTTAGCGGTGATCCTTCGACGCGATTTTGGCTCCTAATGCTCGAGGAGCTGTCGGGAGGCATATGTTGGCAAGAGATCGCAGTTTCAGAATTCTGCTGCCACGATAACCATGTAATGATGGAGCTTGACATAATTTCGAGCCCTCGGATATAGATTTCTAGCTTCAAATTCATTATACAATTCAAATTCAAGTCGCAAATCATTTGGGTAATATGCTTTCGATTGTGCATAATTGTGACTTCTCCTGAATAACAATAATTAGCACATACAAGGCATGACGCTATTTCACTTCGAGTAATAATAGTGGAAAGGTTTGGCTTTTACGTGAATTGCACACTCACTCGGAACAAGTAGGCCAACTCGTTTTCTAATGGAGGGAAGGTTTGGCTAAGGCAAGTCGACTTGTCAACTTTTTTTCTAGTTTGACCAGAAAAAAAAACACTTGTTTTCTAGAAGTGACAGCTTGCAGCCTCAACTTGAATGATTCACGGCCAGTTTCTCTTCCTTCTTTATTAACCAAGTTGACTGAGACCTGGAAGCCAAACTTTGATTTTTCTTCTTGACCGCCAATGGTAGGATGTTGATTATTCCACAACGCCATCTTTGATCTGCCCATCGCCAACGAACCTATTCTAGTCGTAGCTCCATCAAAATTGTCTTGTTGTCGTTGCAAGCAGTGGCCACGAATTGCCGTAGCTGAGTTCACACGCAGACACCGTGAACCTCCGAACCTAGCGCTCGTCCCCCCTCTCAGCAGTGTTCTCTTCCTCACCGTGAAAAATGAAGCACCAAACCAATTTGCGTCCTGCAAAGTCATGGTCCTGGATTTTATTGAACTTTCCTTCCCATTAGCTCCTTTTCATTTTTGCTTCACTTTCTAGACCATAAAGTACATGATGTCTAGTAAAGTTTGGTCTTCCTGAGTTTATGGTTTATTTACATGAATAGATATTTGATGGTGGAAAGACTTGTGGACAGAAAGCATCCTCAAAAGTCTTGGTCTTCCTAGACTTCATAGTTCTCTCTCTCTCTCCATTAGTTCATTATCGTTTTGCTTCACCATAACCTTCCTTGTTGTCTAGAGTGATTGATTCACCCATGGCCATTGGAGAAATCGTTTTTGGTTCCGTCTTGACTTCCTTCTTTCAAGTCCTGTTCGACAAATTGGCTTCTCTAGGAGTGAACTATGCACAAAGGGACAGAGCACCGCCCTTCTCTGGAATCAACACGGACCGTCTCAATGAGTGGAAGAAGATGCTGGACACAATCGATGCGGTACTGGATGATGCAGAGGACAGGCAACTGAGCGGTAACCGTCTAGTGAAGCTATGGCTGGACGATGTTAGGGACTTGGCCTATGACATGGAAGACTTGCTCGATGAGTTCGCGATCAGAGCTGCTCAGGCCAAGTTGAAGGCAGAATTTAGCACAAGCAGAGGTTAGGTGAAGTTTCATTTATTTAGCCAACATAAATCTTCCTGATCAAATTCTAACCCACGCTTGCTCGTGTCTGAAACAGAGGTACAGAAGATCGATGATAGGTTGGAGGATATTGTCGCCAGGAAGGCTTATCTAAGCTTGACATCAAACCCAATGGGCAGAACTGACTACAACAACAAAAGGCTCAACAGCACTTGTCTACCGGAGACTCAATTTTTCGGCAGGGAGAAGGAAGAAGCGGAGATACTCAAATTATTGATGGGTGAAGCCGAAAATTCTGATGCCACACTGAGCATAGTCCCCATAGTTGGGATGGGTGGTGTTGGAAAGACGGCCTTGGCTCAGCGAATATATAATGATGCCAATGTGAGCAATTGCTTTGAGAGTAGAGCATGGATTTGTGTTTCGGATGTTTTTGATGTTCTCGACATAACAAAGACTGTTTTGCAGTCGATCACCGAGTTGTCTTGTGAGGAGAAAGATCTTAATTGGCTTCAAGTTAAGTTGAAGTACTATCTATCGGGAAAGAAGTTTCTTGTGGTTTTAGACGATGTTTGGAATGAAAAGTATGGAGAATGGATTACCCTCTTAAAGCCATTTGAAGCGGGGGCTAGGGGAAGCAAGCTCATCGTCACAACTCGCAACCATTTGGTTGTTTCCATAATAGGAGCTTCGCCGTATCCTTTGAAGGAGTTGTCCGTTGATAATTGCTTAAGCTTATTAGCCTTTCATGCTCTTGGAGCAAAAAATTTTGATAGGCACCCAGATCTTGAAAAAATTGGCAAGAAAATATCTGAAAAATGTAAAGGTTCACCATTGGCAGTGAAGGCATTAGGTGGTCTCCTACGTAATAAAAAGAATCCCAATGAATGGGAAGATATCTTACATAATGGAATGTGGGATCTTCTAACGAGACAAAATGATGAAGTTTTTCCGGCTTTGAAATTGAGCTATATCCATCTTCCTTCTTATTTGAAGAGATGTTTTGTTTATTGTGCAGTGTTTCCCAAGGATTACGAAATTGAGAGGGATGAGCTAGTACTCTTATGGATAGCGGAGGGCTTTTTAGACGGACAAAAAGCAAAGAAAAATAACTTGAGATTAGGACGAAATTACTTTGATGAGTTAGTATCCAGATCATTTCTTCAACAATCAAGTGTCAACGCATCTAAGTTTTTTATGCATGATCTTTTGAATGATCTAGCAAAGTCAATTGCAGGCGGGACATGCTTTAGCTCAGGGGAGTCTCGGTTGGCCAATAATGAAGATGATGCATCTCTTAAGAAAGCTCGTTATGCATCATTCATCTCACAACAATTTGCTACATCAAAAAGCTTGAAAGCATATGAGGGCATGAAGGTACTAAGAAATTTTATGCTATTGCATGATAGATTTAGTTGGGACGACAAATTCCACATTTCCAACAAAGTGCTACATGACTTGCTAACAAAATTGAAGTACTTAAGGGTGTTCTCGTTATGTCATTGTTCCATGACAGAGGTACCGAATTGTGTCGGTGATTTAAAACATCTTCGATATCTCAATTTCTCATACACTAATATCAAACAGCTACCCAAGTCAATTGTTGCCTTGCACAAATTACAGGCTTTGATATTGAGAGGTTGTCAAAAGCTTTCTATGTTGCCTCAAGAGATCACAGAAATGGTCAGCTTAGAGTTTCTTGACATTAGAGATACATGGAGTTTAAAAGATATGCCATTGAGTATCGGTAAATTGAAAAATCTCATGATCTTGTCCAAGTTTGTGGTAGGACTGGAGAAACGGTCACGGTTAAAGGAGTTAAAGAACTTGCCACATCTTCAAGGAGAATTATTTATATCAGAATTGCAAAAGGTAGAAGAAGTTAGAGATGCTGTTGATGCTAATTTGTTTGGAAAGCAAGGCCTTAGTAACTTATTTTTGCATTGGAGTGAAGATTTTGGAAATCTGCGGAATGATAAGCATGAAGCACAGGTGCTTCACTCTCTGCAACCTCACACTAATCTTGAAAATCTCACTATCTCGTGTTATGGTGGTGCAATATTCCCGTCATGGTTTGATGGTCCATCCTATTCTAAGATAGTGTCTTTGAGCTTGTGGGGATGTCCTAATGTTATATTGCTACCCCCACTTGGACAACTACCATCACTTAAGGAATTATCTCTTAAAGGTCTGCATGCGGTAAGAACGATAGGCTCTGAATTTTACGGAGGTAAAAGGCCATTTTCATCCTTAACAACTTTGAAATTTGAAGAGATGTTGGCATGGAAAGATTGGTCTCGTTGTGTCGGCGGCCCAGAAGAAGATTTCCCATTCTCCTGTCTTCTACATCTTATTGTCCGGAGTTGTCCTTCGTTGGTCAAGACATTGCCTTGTCAACTTGATCGTCTCATAAAGCTTGAAATTCATTCATGCCCGCGTTTGAATAACTCAACCAGTGTGGTTTGTCTTCCATCTCTCCGCGAGTTATACCTTGAGGATTGTCACGAGGAGATCTTAAAGTTCTTGGTCAACCTAACTTCTTTAATCATTCTCAGAGTTCAAAATCTTGCAGAGCTTGTTTGCTTTAATCATGAGTTTATGAGCTGCTTGGTCAACCTAAATGAGCTTCATATAGGAAGGTGTGACAAGCTAACATACTTGTGGCGAGATGGAAATGAAACACGAAATCTTACTTGCCTCCGGGAATTAGCGATCCAAAGTTGTCCTCAATTCACGTCTTTTGTGGCCGAAGAAGGAGAGATAGAGCTGCCTTCCAATCTTGAAACAATGGAACTGAGGGAATGCACGAGTTTAGAAAAGCTTCCCAGCAAGATGCACATCCTCAAAGATTTGTTAATTGAGAAGTGTCCAAAACTCATGGGATTAACCATCGCTTCACATGACTCCACCGGAAATAACCTGATGCATCAACTTGCTGCTCTGAGGACACTTATAATTAGGAAGTGCGAGGGAGTGAAGTCACTGGAAGAGATCACCGTAGAATCGTTGACGTTTTTGACTATTGATAATTGTACAAATCTGGAAAGCCTACCACGATACCTTCACACGCTCTCCCATCTCACTCGTTTGAATATATCATGCTGTCCAGCATTGGAAATAGATGACTTCCCTCCCCTTCCCATCACCTTGTCGTGGCTTATGATTGATAATTGTCCGAATATAAAGTCTCTACCAAATCAGTGGCTTCATCTAACATCCCTCGAGGAGGTACACATTGAGAATTGCCAAAATATCAAATGCTTCCCCACAGGTGGTTTGCCTCCCAATTTGAAGCAGCTTAAGATATCAAGGTGCGTAAATCTAAAGCAGCCAATAAGAGAATGGGGCTTACATCTGCTCACAACCCTCCAATTTCTACTAATTGACTTTTGCATGGGAGGGGAGGGAGAGAAGGCGTGGTTTCCTTCTGAGGAGGATGAGGATGCGTGGAGTCTTCTCTTTCCTTCCTCTCTAATCACTCTTGCGGTGAAAAATATGAGGAACGTGGAAAGACTAGCAAGCGGTCTTCACAACCATCTTTCCTCTCTCCGAATGTTATCCATTGAAGATTGCCCGAAGCTGAGGTACTTGCCAGAGGATGGCCTCCCTCCCTCCCTCCAACAATTGTACATATATGGATGCGAGATTCTGGAAGATCGATGCTCAGAAATCACTGGCGACTATTGGCCCCTCATCCAAGAAATCCCTCTCATTCGCCTTGCTTGGGTTCGGGTAAGTTTTCGGTTTTGAAGGCATCAATTTCGATTCTGCTCCCTCAATTCGATGCTTAATACAAACTGAGTTTCCCCATGGAGATTTTTCCCATGAATTTCCAAAAACCAACCACTGATGGTCACAGATTGACCTTTGGGTAGGTGTCCACGTTGGGTTGGATGGGCTATGTTTCGATGCACAATACAGTGAAGGACGAATTACTCACAATGCTGCCTTTATATTGATGACTATGTTGAACTCTGCTTGATGCCAAAACAAATTGCGAATGAAAATGCACTATGCTTTGCATGAGAATCACGGAGAATCATAGTGTTCTACAATCATATTTTTCTGCATTTTCAGCGTTTTTTTGCATGTTCTCTTCCTAACAACTTTTTCTTGTGCCCTAGCTCATTCACTCCAGTTGTTTTGCAGATACCATTGTAATATGCATTGGCAAAATCTCTTGGAAGGATCACTTGTGAACACTGTTGAGGTAGGGCTAATGCTATCAATGTTTTGTGTCATTTTTTGCAATTTAACAAAAAAATAAGAATAATCTTTTTCAAAATCTAAAAATGTGATTAGTTATGTGGAAGCTGTGATGTGATTGTGAAGAAAGGGGATGCAGTTTTTTTTTGTATTTTTATTTAGAATCGTGAACCTTCTTTTTGTTGATGATGATTCTTCGTAGTATTAAGCAGTCGATCTGAGATAAAATTCTGGGGCAGCTCATGGTTCCAAGCTTTTGATACAACTCCAATTCATGACAGCATTGACACCTTCCATTTAGGTCTTGATCTCAGGGGGGTTAGGAACTATTACTTACTGCTTGCTAGAAATTTCTAGCCAATATACTTATGCTTGTTTGGTTGAGATTGTAACGATATGCTGCCTACCTCTGCTTTTGCATTGTCAGCATTGATTAATGGGGCAAATCTATTCAGTTCTTTAAAGTACCAGTGTGCAGGTAGTTCCAGAACAAATGCTTCGAGCTCACTCGGGTTTCTCTGGTGGAACTGGAAATCTTGCGCTTCAACAAATGTGTATCTTGTCTGATACATCTCCTCCCTCTCTGCTATTGTTGCACGTGTAAATTTTTTGTTGAAGCAATTTTCGTATGACATTGTGAAGCTCTATTAGAGGTTAGTTAGTTTGTAATCTGAATTGTGGTTCACTGTGTACTTCCTTCGAGGCGTTTTGGATGTTATTGCACATATAACATGGTGCTTTGACCATATAAATAGGTGGTCAAAAAAGCAGAGTTGCATTTACCAAAATAACTTTCAAGAAACCTCACAAAGTTTTGCTTGAGGAGCCATTCAATCATCTGGTAAGTTTTACTCATTTTTCAATTCAATCATCTGGTAAGTTTTACTCATTTTTCTCCACCTTATGAATTCTATTACTTTTTAAGTTAGCTTGTTATTGTTCTTGCACTAATTGAACTTATCGGATTCTGGTCTTTACATTGAAAATACAGTAGAACCAATTAGTGATCGTAGCTATAGGGAGCCTCTGTCATCATACATCTAACTTATAATGGAACAGAAACCAATCCAATTGTTCCAACTTGAAAAATATTGGGCATAGCATAGACATGCTAGCCTAATCAGTGTTTTTGTATTGCAGTAATCAATAATACCAAGTAGTATTGGGCTTTTGCACATCATTAATGTGGACCTTTCTTTGTTTATAAATGTGGACTTTAACATCTGCCTGAATGACTAGTGACTACTAAAGTGTTTGCTTTGTAAATTGTTGGATTCTTGTCTAAGGATAGATGAGTAAGATTCTACGGTTTTTACTATCCCAAACTGTACGATTTGGATGCGATTGAGGCGCTCATTGAAGGTCTGGTCTTGTTCCAAGGAGGAATTCTGATGGTGAGATTGATTTTCTTGCCAAAATACTTCAATTTGACCAACGACGGATCATTTTCACAATTAACTGCGCTCTTTTCGCCTTGATTTACAAGTTAGTCACGATCAGCATCTAACATACGGAAGCGCGGACAAGCTCTGGGTGTTTCTCAAGGCAAGGTGCCGCCTTTCCATGGGAATTTCCAGGATTGTAAGAAGATACTTAAAAGTCCTTGTAGAATCAGGTGAATCTAGTTCTTGTCATCAGCAAAGAGTGGTTCACCGGGGTCACATTACCTTACAAAACAGAAAATGATGCTTAGCTACAGAGAGAGGGGAAAAGGGCGAAGAGAGGATGGCTGCTGATATACAGGATGTACTCACGGTTACATTGGCCCTCATACTTATGGAGCTCAGGGAAGGATGAGTCTAAGTTTTTGACATCGAGTATAAATAAATAAAGTAAAACAAAATGAAATGAAATGCCAGCAATGCTAAAAAATAAAGGAACAGATCAAAGGTAAGAAGCTTAATCTACAGTCCGAGCTCACATTAGGCCACAAATAGAACCAAAGCTTTCGATAACTTAAAAGCCTACTTATTCTTTCCACTTAAGTGAAAAACATGAGTGCAGTCGGAAAGCATTGTTTCAATCAAGCAGCAGTGCAAATTACACCAGACATTAGAAAGAGACCACATCTCGAATTGAAAATACAATACAAGAATAACCGCATATATGAGTATAGAACTAAAATGTGAAGATGCTGAACCTTCCACTTAATTATCTGGGTTAGAAGATCTGGGTCACATACAGCTTTTGCATCTTCATTGCTGTCTCCTTCCTCTAGCCTTGTAAAGCTGCTCGAAGAGCTTTCACCTCACATTTTCCGTTGGAAAATCGGACATTCTTCTGCTTTCTAGGTTTTGTTTTAAGCAATGCTTGCTAAAAATGAGGGGCCTATGAATTACAATAATCTTCAGCTGAGTGAATGAGCAAAGGAAGGAATGCTTTCACAAGTAGTAAAAAGATACCCTGTTCAATACTAACCTAGATGGACAACCAGTCAACCTCGATTTGCTTAATAGTGGCATTGTGAAAATGGAAAAAGGAGCTCCTATACTTTTTGCCATCTTTGAGGGTTAATTCAAGAAGGGAGATCCGATGTAAGAAAATTTCTCGGTCTTTTTTAAAAAATGCCAGGATTGAAATGGATGGCTACGAAGGAAAATGGCATTTTAGCCCAAAATCCCGACTCAAACTATTTGAATTAGGATATCCTAATGTCACACAACAAAGAGTGTAGTTGGCGACTCCGGTCACACTTTCCCTTTCTGGTCCTATCGAACCAGAAACTTCACACCTCTTATGTTGGTTAAGGTCGAGCTACTTCCTTCTCTCTAACTAGACTCTAGTAAAGTAATATATTCGTTCTATCACTTTTTAACTTTATCTACTCGCTATGTAGCTCATAAATAATCGTAATTCACAGGCCACCATCATTTTTATCGAGCATTGCTAAAACAAAACCTAGAAAGCATAAGGATGTCCGATTTTCCCACGAAAAATGTGAGTTGCAGGCTCTTCGAGCAGCTTTGCAGAGGCTAGAGGAAGGAGACAGCAATGAAGATGCAAAAGCTGTCCGTGACCCAAATGTTCTAGCCCAGATATTTAAGTGGAAGGTTTAGCACCTTCACATTCTATTTTCTATACTCATATTTGAGGTTATTCTTGTATTCCATTTTCAATTCTATTATTGTCTTCGTGATCCAGTCCACCATTTGACACATGCACTTAATCTACCCGAGAGCCCTCCATTTAGTCGTACATTGGATCCATGCATCCTCTCTCTCTATTTTCTTGATCTTCCATCATAGTCTCCTTCAGGCCAATTTTCTCCCCCACATCAGTTTATGCTTGAATTTGCTGCATTTACAGGACTATTCTGAGCACAGCATGTCCACTACTGCATTCCCAAGTATCGAGTCTTTTGAAAGCCAGCTGTTGCTCGGAGTGAAATGATGAAGAGACTTGCCACCCCGCGAATAATTTAGTTGAGCAAAACTCGAAACTAATCTAATTACTGTCCAATTGCTCTATGTCTCTTCAGATAACAATCATGAAGTAATTGGATCATTGTTCTGTTCACATGTGGCAACGATTGAGTACCACGAGACTACATCTTTTATTACCACACGCTCAAATAGGCATCTCCTGAGTTGCTGAACTTGGCATGCATGTTTGTTTGTTAGAGAACATTATCTGCAAACAATTCTAAGTTTCTGCCCATGCTTAATGACGTATAGATGAATCATGGTTCCAGTCAAATACCGCATCAAACTAAGCAAAAATAACGAGGAGATTATATCCAGTCGCGGAATCCATCTTTACTTCCCACGTAACTCATAGCAGACAATTTCAGCTGACATCTCCCATTCTAACACCCATAAATCATTGCATTCCATGAGCACTGCCTAAGTAATCATGTTAAACATGCGTGCGTATCTTCAGAACAATGGAAACTCTCCCCTTCCTGTTTATTTCCTACAAGCTTCACTGACATCGAAAGCTAATCACGATAAAACTTAAACAGAAAAACGTACCTAGCGGATCGCAGGGCATAGATTAGTTCGCCTTCGCCTTTTTCTTTTTTCTGGACGTGGTGGCCGAGCTTTGAGGTGGCTGTCAATGGAAGCTCGACGGTAGCCGTCGATGGTCGGAGATGGCGAACAACGAAGGCGGTCATGTGTGTATGAATGATGAAGCTTCGATCGGCTTAGCTTCCATCGAGGTAGAGATCACAGATCAGAGAGAGAGAGAGAATTAAAGGAGAGCTTCGTGAAAGAGAGAGCAACCATCCTGTTGGCTGTTGCGAGCCCAAAACAGATTCTGTTGAGAGTGCAAAACGGATTCCGTTTCGAGCATGTGCGTGACTCAGCCTTCTAAAATCCTTACCGCATTAAAAGCCTCAATCGCAAAAGTACAATTGAATCCTAAAATTTTTAAAAAGTACAATCGAGTCCTAAAATTTTTTGAAAACGCAATGGAGTCCTAAAATTTTCAAAAAGTGCAATCAATTGAAGGATTTGATTGGACCAATTTGAGAAATTTTACGATTTGTTTGCACTTTTTGAAAGTTTTAGAATTTGATTGCATTTTTTAAAGGGAAAAAACCACTAAAAACCCCAAACTTTGTCATCTGTGACACATTTACCCCGAACTTTTTTTTGTGACACCAAAAACCCCGAACTTTGCTTTTTGTGACATATTTACCCCAATGTATTTAGTCCATGGGCATTTTCGTCTTTTCTGCTTTTTCTTTTTTGTTTCTTTTTTTTCCTTTCCGGCGAGGGTCGGCCTCGCCTGAGTCGGGCGAGGCTCGCCCTCGCCTGGGCGAGCGAGGGCGGCCCTCACCCGCTCGGGCGAGGTCGACCCTCGCCGGGTCGGCGGCCGCCCTCGCTCGCCCAGCGAGGGCGGCCCTCGCCCGGCTCGAGCGAGGTCGACCCTCGCCCGACGCCGGCGAGGGTCGACCTCGCTCGAGTCGGGCGAGGGCCGCCCTCGCTCGCCCAGCGATGGCGAACCTCGCCGACGCCGGCGAGGCCCCCTCACGGAAGGAAAAAAAAAAAAAAAAAAAGAAAAGCGAGAAAAGACGAAAATGCCCATGGACTAAATACATTGGGGTAAATGTGTCACAAAAAGCAAAGCTCGGGGTTTTTGGTGTCACAAAAAAAAGTTCGGGGTAAATGTGTCACAGATGGCAAAGTTTGGGGTTTTTGGTGGTTTTTTCCCTTTTTTAAAAGTTTTGGAACTCAATTGCAGTTTTGTAACAAGTTTAAAGACTGGATTACATTTTTTTTTAAAGTTTTAAAACTCAATTACTCTTAAAACTTCTAGTGCACTTTACGTCCGCGTCGATCATCTTGAGAGAGCAAGAGATAGAGAGAGAGGGGGTTGGGGGCTGAGCTCGTTTGATGGGCCAAGGGTGGTCTGCAGTTATGAGTTTATGGGCTTGATTTTTTGGGCTTATTTATGTGGTGGGTTCTTCTATATTCAGTGGACCATTTCTGATGTTGGTGGATTTGGGCCGGACTGCTCTGAGGATAGCTTTCGTGGGCTGCGTAAACCAGACTAAGACCAAATTAAGCCCTCTTTTTATTTGCTGATTTGTTCATTACTTATTTATTTGTTTTTGTCATTGTCTTGTTATTCTTTATCTTTTGTACCTTTTTATAATGATGAAAGTTTGAATTGTTGACTAAAATTCAGGTGTCAACAAATACCGGCTCCATCTCTTGACAACATTCGAAGCAATGTCTTTTATGAGATGCTTTTTATCCCAAGAAGGTCGTCATTCAGCAACACCCACGATCCATTCTTTGGAAGTAGGCAAGTCCTGTCACAGTTTAACTCCACGAGGATGCCAAAGGCATGGAACCAATCGCACATAACGAGATACACGCACTACCGTCATAAATGATTTCAATCTCGTGACTTCACTTTTGTAAAATATCAGCCTGTACCAATAAATCACAATCACCAGTGATTAGGTTTCTCCCTCATTTGTGGCTTAACATGATCATAACATTTATTCAGCATTCAGCGGGAAAAAAAAAACATCGAAAGGTCACTAATTTCTAAGAGTAGGAAAGTGAAGTATCTCGATTCTTGTCTTGTTTGTTCATTTTTGGTTGCTATTGGGTGGGTATGCATGTAATTTTGTTTGTCTGATAGCTCTTATAGTTATTTATTATGCATGAAAGATAATTTTTATTCAGGAGTAATTGATCGTTCGTTTCCAGATTCTTTAGTTTTCTAATGTTTTTTTTTTGGGGGGGTCGGATTTAGTTTTCTCGTATTAATTTCATGCCATATGTTATTCTTCAAGTGGATAATTCTCCCATACAATTGACAGCGTGATTCAAATTGTACTGATTAATGATGATGGCGATGAGCAAAGCCATGGAATTAAAGGTAAAATCTGGGGCTTTTACTTTGTTTTTCAGTACATTTTTTATATTTGTGATTGAATCATTTTGGAGTTGCTTATTACTTATAGCAAGAAATTCTCAACTTGCTTTTAGATGAAAAGAAAAACTTACCAACTTTCTCACGTTCAGTATGATTGAAAAGCTTGCCTAGAAATAAAGACATGAGGAAGAAATATAGATTGTCCGTTGAAAATTAATCTCTTCAAATGATTTCCTTCTCAAAGTTTATTTTATGTCATCACACCATAACTTTCACAATATGCATCAAATTGCCCAAAACCTTTTGGGATAGTGTCTTTTTCTATTAGAATGTTGTATGGTATAATATATGGATCACAAGGAAGATAAAACTTGATCTGAACAAAGTATTATCAGTTCATATATTTCCTCAAAACAATTGGATAAGAAAATAATGTTTTCACCTTTTTTGGGAAAGTAAATCTGGGCAAAAGCCCGAAATGACACAACTAATCTTCAAGATACTGAAATACCAACTAGATCACATGTAATCTTTCATTAAGCACCCCTTCATCCACTTCCTTTAATAACCACCAATACTTTTAACACATGATAATCTCCTCCCTTCATTCACTCGCATAGTGCATGCTTAGCCTCTAGCATATAATTTTGAACTAATTTGAATAGTGATTATGTTAATTTAGAGTTGATATTTTCAAGTTAGTGAGTGTAATGATCTCACGGGATTGGTATGGTTTGTTGGGACGTTGGGGGATTTCCAACTCAAGAATTGAAGGTCATTCATTCGAATCCCATCAACTGCTTTTTAATGGCTCTAGATAAGGGCCACATGCATAGATCAAAGGTCTGTATTAAACTAGTTCATAGGGCTTGCAAGATGTCCATGGGTCTCTAAGCATATGGATTTCCATACTTGTGTCATAAATTATTCAAAAAAAAGAGAAGAAGTAAGAATGTGATGATCTATATTTGCCTAATGCTACAATCATTAGTACACCTTACTCCCCATTTTTTTCCTTAAATGATAATCACCAAATTTTGTGATTGAATATACTTTTCTTTTCACTTTGTCTAAACATGCAAAAGAGAACTCAAATCGTTTTCTTCCCCAGCTTCAAACTAATCATCGAGCTTGTAGGGTAGCTCTACTATGACAATGGACTGGGTCAGATTCGAGCAGCATTTTGAAATTGAATAATACTTTGTTGCAGAATTCGAAGAATGTACAGCATCACAATATGGTGACGGACTTAAAACATATTTTACCAAATGGTGGGGTTTTCAATACGGGAGTACCTGAGAAAATTGAAAAGAAATAGCCCCTCAAGATTCCAACCATATAATAATACTAATAATACAACAAACAATCATTCGTGCATCAATGAGCTACCATCAAGATCATCCAACTTGCATTAGACTAATACTAAATTGATGGAAGGGGACAAAAACTTGTCAAAGTGGGGTATGATCAGAGGTGGATCACAGCCTCACAGGCAAGGAAAAAGAACTGCAAGATTCTGCGTCAAATGGTGTAATCTGTCCTTATGTGCCCAGAAGATGATTTGCAGCAATAAATTATTCTGGGGGAAGATAATGGGGAAAATTTCAGTCACCCTATCATCATTATGAGCACCACTATGCAAACAAGAAAAGCGTTTTGGACCAAAGCACCAGATTAGCAATCTCCTAAATCATCACTTCATTGAAATCAATTGTACAAGAAAAATCATGAGTAGAGAAAAATGGGAAATGAAAGCAAAAAAGATTGCTAAGAGAAGCAGCAGTAGCAGAAACAGCCCCGAAGGCTAGAATATCAAGCATCAACCCATTCAATACAATAGAAAGTTCAGTCTATCTCTCTCTCTCTCTCTCTCTCTCTCTCTCTCTCTCTCTCTCTCTCTCTGCCTCTAAAGATTATGTTAAGAATGATTAATCTATCCTTGTGAAGCTGGTTTCTTCTAGGCTCTGTTTTGAAGCAAGGTGATTATCACTCAATATCAAGAAAAGCCATATTCATCTGGTTCTGATTTTCCCATCCCCTCTTCCAAGAGAATCTCCTGGTACCGGCACTCTCCACTACAGAAAGCTTTCTCTCCCCTGAAAATGGTGAAAATGCAAATCTCTATGAGCTAAAAGATTCGGAGATAAATGGTGCAAACGAATTGATATGCCTTTTTTTGGTTCATCGAATCACTCTATACAAATAATTGTGACCAGAATGAGGTACCAGAGCAAAGTGATATGAAATCCTAGGTATTGAGCAAACCATCTTATGATAATAATAAAAAAACAATAAAATAGAGCTAGAATCACAACATGAACTTGTATCTATTGATCCATTTTCCTACCAGAGGTGAATCTAATAGAACTGCAGTGATCAAAGTTGCAATTGAAAGTCTCAGCTTCTTCTTGTATGACAGGATTAGGGAAAATTCAAATTCATGTGGCAGGAAACTTTATTTTCTTATTAAAAAGGTTTCAGAATCACAAGAATTTTCAATTATAGAAGCTACATGAAGTAAACTTGGTTACCATATTTGGAAAGGGATTCTCAGTTGCACGTGCTCTCTTTCCACATTCATCCCAAAAGTGTCCAAAAAGTGCTCAAATTCAATAGATCACACTCAAAAATCACTCAAAATGATGCCCCAACAAAATTGCAGAACTTGAAAGTTTGAACTAACCTGTACATATAAATGTCACTTCCCTGCCCAAGATTCTTCTTGCAGGTGCAACAGAAGCTAAGAAAACTCTGTGACAAAGAACCACTACTCTGCTCATCACTCAAAAATCCATTCTCCTTCAAATCAGAGGCATCCCCAAAAACACCACAGCGGCTCTCGACAATGCAATCGTCGAATATATGCGTTGTCTTCGGGTTCGGGCCATGGGAGATCACGCAAGTGTAGTCCTCCGACAGCTCCATCTCACTGGCACTCAAAATCTGGGGCGAGCCGGGCACACCCAGGCCACGCGAATTGGAGGATGACCCGGAACGGGATTTCGTATCTGGGGACCGCGAAATGCGTGGTGATGCAAAACCAAGCTGGGAATTCCTCGATTTGATCCCAAAATTGGGTGGAGACCTTGGGCTCGCCGACTCGGGGTTGGGAGGGACAGAGAATGGCAGGGAAGGGACTTGGATCTTGAGCTTCGATCCGAAGATGACGACAGGCCGGGCCTCGGGTTTAGGCTGCTTCGGGTCAAAGCTCTCGTCTTTCAGAGCATCAACAATGCCTAGGCCAATTCCTACTGATTCTATCTTCTTCTTTTCCCAGTAAGAGCGCTTGTGCTCTGTGTCTGTGTTTCGGGGTGAAGAAGACGAAGTGCTGGTGTTATCAGACCAGAAGGAGTTTCTGATGGTCGAGAATGAGAATGGTTTGCTGTCAAGAATTGAAGTAGGACTAATCGCAGTGTCGGTTTCAGAGAACCCCTTCACAGTGAAGCTAGTGAAGCTAGTGAATAGCCTTGGCAAGCTGAAAAAAGATGATCCGGTGACTTTCTTGTAATTATTTCTGGGAGATGGTAAAGAGAAAGAACTAAGTTCCGCCATTAAAGAAGCTTCTCTTTGAGAAAAATCTGTTCTCTCTGTGTATACGGCCCCAACAACAGATCAATCTGCAAAGATGAAACACCAAGAAACAAAGACCCTCACATAATTATAAATGAAAAAGAAGGATTGAAAAAAGATATTTGGCGAGAGAGAGAGAGAGAGAGAGACCTGAAAAGATTTGTAGATTTCAGGCAAGAACAGCCGTGAATTCAAATGGGCACAAGCAGGATCGCCTTTATGCTCCACCAAATTGCAGACAGTTCGTGGCTTTTACTTCTTTTTCAAGTTTAGTGTCAGAGAATGAAGGACGAGAGGGGGGTTATCAATAGTACAGTCAAAGAGGCCATTCTTTGAGCACCAGAGAATCAAGAAAATTACGCAGAGGAAGAGCCCATGAAGTTGAAGTTCCTCTCTCTCTCTCTCTCTCTCTGCTAGATTTCTCCTACCTCCATCTCCAGAAACAGAGCAAACCCAAGAGAAACGGAAGCTCAAAGGCTCGACTTTTTCGCCGGTTTTCTCGCTCTATCTCCTCTTCCCCCCCAAGTGTTCTAGCTCAGGTTTCTCATGAAAGAAGAAGAATCCAACTGATCTCAGAAGGGACATGCAGAGAGAGGCCCTCAGGAGGCCATCATCAATTATCAGGACAGCAGAACCAAAGAAAGCTTTGTATTTTAGCTCCGCCTCTGGTTCAGCCTCTTACGTTTCCCCTCTTTGTTACGTTTTCGTCGTTTCTCGCCCCCTCCCCCCCTCTCTCTCTCTCTCTTGTGGCAAAAATATTTCTATTCCGGTAAGGAGAATGGTTTCTCTATCATCACAAAGTTTCGAAAGCCTCTAGATGCAGACAAACCACTCTCCAATCAAGAATTAATGCAGCCCAAAATGGCTAATGAACCAGCCTCTCTCTCTCTCTCTCTCTCTCACCCACACACACACACACACACACACACACACAAACACAAACACACACAGAATCTTCTTCCTTTCTTTGCCCTGTTTTTCAACACTCTAGTGGGATACTTGCAGAAGACCCTCTTGCTCTCTCTCTCTCTCTATCTACTGGGGGCAGTGTCTGTTCTACTTCATCCCAAGACCCAAGGGGCCACGGCTGGAGGAGGAATTGCTGCAGAGAAAGCGAGGTGGTGTGGGGGAGAGGAGGGGAGGAGGAGGAGGAGGAGGAGGGAGAGCGGCTCGGGGATGGGATATCTGGTGCTGGTGCTGAGAGGCGGATATTATAAACTACTCCGCGTGCATGGGAATCAGTGGGCATCTGATCGAAACCGCTCTCTCTCTCTCTTCTCTCTCTTTCTCTCTCTCTCTCTAAAAATGGCAGTTCTGTTCACGTCGTTGTCTTACCAAGACGAAACAAGAAAACGAGGAGCTTCTGTGGGAGCAGACGGGCGATGGCTAATAATGCCCACAAACATCTTGACGTGACAAATTTTTGTATTTCCATTTGCATAATTAAATAGGATAATAAAACAAACGGTTCTTAAATTTTGACTTAAGGTACAATATAACCCATGAAATTTTAATTTGTTAAGTTTGGTCCCCGAACTTTTTGGTACGTGTTCAATTTAATCCTTAAACTATATGAAAATTTTTAATATGGTACTTCCATTCATTTAAATTTAGGGACAATATTGAATATTTTCATGAAGTACGGGAACTAAATTGACTTTTTGTACTACATTGCACATTAGATGAAAGTTCAGGGATAATTTGTGTCGTTTTCCCTGTGTAAATTACAGGTTTGATAATATCTACTTTCAAATTATAATGTCCTCAAATTGAGCAAGACAAATTTTGTACAAGTATGGCATCACATCTTATAATTGTTCACCAAAACCGACACTATATAAATGAAGCCGACTTTCAAACTTTATTATCTGCCCTCTATATTACTCTCGTATCCTTTTATATAAAATTAAGTCCGACTTAGCGAAGTAATCGAGCGGCGATGGTTTTTTTTTACCATCCTATGACGGATAACCCATAATAATCTTTAAGAATGATTGAGACTTGAGGGAGCAAAAGATACGGCAGGAATGCTTTCCTTCCCCACTTGCTGCGAGTGTTAAAAACAGAGCAGGATGCATTGATCAACGAAACATACGATCAATTACATTGAAAAGAAAACAATCGACCACGTCAATTCGGAAAACTCAGCATTCATACGACGCGTCCATCGAAAGAAAGTGCCCAATGATAGGAAGACGGGGAGAGGGAAAGTTTACTCCAACAAGGGCGCATCTGATCATGATTAGTGGGAAGAGATAACCGACTGGGGCTACCCTGTAATCGTCGGTCCACGTGCATCACGATATGTTCGTTTGGGTCTCGACTGCTCGGTCCGTCCACCCGCCACGGTAATTCCGCCGGCGTGCCGGGAGGAGCCCCGGGGAAGCATGTCCGCACGAGATGACAGAGATCGAAGACGGGAACGAGGGAGGGATCCCGGTCGCGTCGTGACTGAAAAAGCTTTTGGTGGCTTTGGATACACAGACGAAAGTGATCTTGCGAAAGAGGATGGAAACGTGTTCCGAAGGCACGAAATGAAACGCAGAACTATAACAAAAAGAAAAAAGACGCACGGGGCCTCTGACAAGATTTGCAGTCCCCCCCGTACAACAACCGGTGCGCCGATCGGTCGCCACAGGCTTTCTGAGCCCCGTGCGAAACGCCCGAGCCTAGCCGCCGCTGCCCCGGAGCAGGGCTCGGCTCGGCTCGGCTCGGCTGGGGGGGCGATGATCAGGTGAGCGATGGTCCGCGGGAAGAGCAAGGGAGGGAGGGCGATGATTGGAAGCCGCGGGGGTGTTGGGTGTGGGGCCCACCGGCTTCGTACCGGAAAGCGAAGCGGGAAGTGGGTGGGGAGGAGGGGATCACGGACGGACCATCCTCTTATGCTGCGCCCCCAACGACTCCCTCTGGCAACTTCCTCCACGTCATCACAACACACCCCAAATTGCATCCCATCAAATACTTAAAAAATGAAAAAAGAAAAGTACTAACCCCTACGCTATACGCAATTTAATATATATTATGATAAAAAAAAAGTCATGCGATTTTTTTTATGAGTGAAATAAGTACAAGTTGGACAGAAAAGGTGAAATGCATAAAGGGTGGATCTATTAGTTTAATCCAAAAATTGGAAATACCCAAAATCAGGATTTTCGTACTTGATAAATGATAAACCGAGGTCGGTGTTTTTGGTAAGTGGTTATTTCTTTTCATCGGGAAAATGGAAAAAAAAAAGATAGCGGAATGGTTGTACGCCATGTGATTCAATATTGTTAGGTACTTCGACAGTACTGATCTAACGTATTTTGACTCTGAGATGAAGACGTGCAATGTAATTTATATATCACAACCTCGATACACTCGGAGACTTAGATGCAGAGAGAGAGAGAGAGAGAGAGAGAGAGAGAGAGAGAGAGAGAGAGAGAGAGAGAGAGAGAGAGAGAGAGAGAGAGATGTACCCGATGTACCCGAATGTCACGATCCGAATATATTAAGGGTGAAGTTCGACGATCCGAATATATTAAGGGTGAAGTTCGTAACTTCTTGGCCTTTGTACGCACACCTAACTGGTCCTGGGACATTTTATTTTATTTTTTGTGAAAAAAAAGCATTATTCTTATTTCTTTTGTTTTGGCGTAATTATTGTATCAATCATAATGGAGCGTCTCATTCTCCCAAACTGAACAATGTTTGAAAAACTCTTCAGTTCCCTACTCCCATCCTTTGTATTCTTATTTTCTCTTGTACTATTGTTACTGGTAAATTGTTTTAGTAAACTATCATTGAAGTATATCGTATTCACGAGGGTCGTGTACTAAAATCTCGATAGTTAGCTCTCGGGCATTTTGATTACATACAATTTGTGGGCAAAGATAATTAGCATTGGATCATCCATGAGCGAGGGCGTAAGCTAGGACTACGAGCATGATAATTAATTTGATTGAGAGCGATCTCATTTCTCTTATCGCTTTTCATGCTGTCCTCGAGACATTCTAGTGCTTTAGTGAAAGGGTCAAGTGCCTGTTTGGTTCGACTTAAAAATGTCATTACTACTTTTCTCTATAAATTTGGATATCAAAACACATTTCGAGTCCCAAAAAAATATTTAAAAAAAACCTTACACGGCTCTACATGTAAATGTTGATATGTATAGGAAATACTCTAAGTTACATAATTAAATAAAGTCCAAGTTCTTAAACTATTTGACAAGTAAAAAGGGGGAAAAAAGAGAGAGAGAGTAACAACCCTATCAAACGCATGATAATATTATATCAAATCATCAACCGATGGAAAAACTACCCATTTTTCATAAAAACAAAGGGATAAGTGTATTAAAATTTCTAAAAATTGTCATTAAAATGCAATTGAAATCTAAAATTTCAAAAAGTACAATCAAGTCCCGAAACATGTCAAATTGGTATAATCAAGTCCTATTTTTTATTGCACTCTTTAAAAATTTTAGGACTCAATTGCACTTTCGCAATAAATTTTAGGACTTGATTACATTTTTTTTTAATTTTAAGATTCAATTATATTTTCGTGATAAGTTTTGGAATTTTCAATGTATTTATCCTTAAAACAAGAGTACGAAAGGCCGAAAAAAATTCACTGTTTGACTTCCGTATGAGAAATTGCTTTCTTACTCCCACCTACGAAAGAAAAAGGTAACACTTTTTTTTTTCCCAAAGAGAGGGATTCCTTGGGTCCGAACAACTGGGCCCCACGCCTACCTAAGCCCCCCTCCGTGCGGGGCCCCACTCGGTTTTTCCTAGTCCCGTGTCGCGTCGTTATCTCCCCCCGCTCGCTACTTGCCCCTGAATTATTGCCCCCCGTAATCGAAGTGCAAGAAAAGGAAAGGAACGCCACGTCACCGTCGCCGTCCCCGTCCCCGTCGACGTGAATTTACCAAAGTGCCCTCGCGCGATCGGTACCGGCGGTTTCTCGATGGGGGGCCCCAGCCGGAGTTAATAAGTAATAAAGGGGGACGGGCATGATGAACGATCGTGGTCTCTCTGGGGATCCCGAGAGCAATAAAAAGGTCCCTAGGCAAAAAGCCTGACCGATTGATGGAGACATCCTTTTTTGTCCTCACGTGTTATGTAACACCGCAAAAAAAAAATCTTCTTTTAAAAATGATGGTGTAATGTAATAATGTGAAGATTGACGATTAATACATGGTGATTAAGAAGTAATCCTATGTGAGCTTAGCTTTGATGGGACAAGTCTATTATTAAGGGGGCGGGTAGTTCTAGAAAAGAAGCATACGGAACTCGAAAAAAGTCGGATCAGATCCAATCCAAAGGAAAGGTATTTTATGCATCTGGGTTATACGATTGACGTGATATGATTGACCGATCGCTATGTCGATATAGTACGATTGTCAAATTGAAATGATTCGGTTTGTTGACTTGACGTCTCTCGGGTTTGATCCGAGCGAGTTGTTCTCCCAGTTTTGCCGCCGGTGATTAGCCATCGATGATTCGAAACGATGCATGGGAATAACCGGGAACTTAGTCCGGATTCTATCTTGCCCTATAATCTCTCGTAGCACAATGCCCCTTATTTTGCACGGCCTCTTTTGCGATTATGTTTTCGAACCGTCAAATGTGTCTCTAATTACACATTACTTATGTGTAAAAGTGACGATGGGCCGGCAAAACTCGAACCGACCTTACTTTTTTAGAGTATGATTGTAGTTATTTGACCAATCGATTAGAACCAAACGAAACAGTTTAGTTTCGGTCTAGTAAGCAAGTATGTGTTTTCTTGAAATTGTTTTATAAACATAAAGAAGTCGAAAAAATTCAGAAAATTGTAGATTTTACACCGAAATTGCCTAGCCAACATCGCCTCGTCGCAAGGGATTGCTCCTCCAAGCCAGGATCGCTTCCTCAAAAGTTTCAATATTTGTATCTAGTAAAAGTTTTCAGTGTCGCGGATTTCAAAAAGGTCAAAAGTGCGTAAGCCGCAAAATCTAAATCAAAATAAAAAGTAACACGTGAAAGTCAATTTCAATCTGTTTCGATTTTTATTAATAAAAGTTTGCTTCGAAGTTTTATAAATGTCGATGCATTCAATAATTGCTAGCCTCTAGGATGTACACGCAAAGTCAGGGCCATCGTCCTGTATTGAATAGCTTTCAATAATTTTCACTTGCTTTGGACAAGCGGAATAAGTTGCATTGACTTTAGGTTTAATATTTTTCCACACATAGGCCAAGGGGGAGGTACTGTTTGGCT